TGAGGTCATCAGTGTGGCTGTATATTGGGGTGACTGGTGAGGAGAGGGGAGGAGACAAACATGAGAAGAGGCATGGAGGGGCAGCAGCAGGAACGGAACTTAGAGCCAAGGAACCCCTGGCCGCAGAAGCTGCAGGAGCCGGGAAGGATCTTCTTCTAGAGGCTTCAGAAGGAGCATGGCCCTTCCAACACTCCCGACTCCTAGCCTTCAGAAGGAGAATGTGACAGAATACTTTTTTATTTGAGTCTCCTGGTTTGTGATACTTTGTTACTTTAGCCTCAGCAAAGGGAGATACCTTCTGTGATCCACAATTGTATGTGTGGCTGAGCCATGAGATGCAGCTGTTAGGTCTAAGTATTGTTGTAAAAGTATCTTTAAACGTGATTAGCATGTAAATCCGTGGTCTGTGAGGACTGCAGAGAGCCCTCCATAGTGTGGGTGGGCCTCGCCCAATCAGCTGAAGTCCTGAAGGAAAAAAAAAAAGATTGAGGTTCCCCGAGGAAGAAAGAATTCTGCCTCCAAACTACCTTGTGCTGCATGGGATTCCCCAAAGGGAATTCTGAACTATAGCATCAGCTTTTCGCTCCATCTCAGCCTGCTGGCCTGCCCTGCACATTTCAGTCTGCCATCCACAAGCACGGGAACCAGTGATCCCTTCTACTGGCCAGATGTCACCCTTTGTGGGCTCTGGCATCAAGGACTGGGACTGTTGTGAGGTACCCAGCAGGGCTCTCCTCTCCTCTCCTCTCCTCTCCTCTCCCCTCCCCTCCCCTCCGCTCCTCTCCTCTCCCTCTCCTCTCCACATTCTCTCCCCTTGGTTCTGTTTTTCTGCAGAACCCTAGTCAATACATCCCTCATTCAGAAACCCTCCCCATTTCCTGTAAGTGGGACCTGGTGGTTCCCTCTGGGGTTTCTCCCCAGAGCTGGAGCGGGGACAAGCACACCCACCTGCTGCCTTTCTTTCTGCTGCCAGCATCTTGCACCTGGGGTGGGCGCCCCACGGCTCCTCACTGCTGTGTGAGTCGCAGGAGCCTTCTAATTGGGAATCAGTAGCGGCAGAGCAGATGCCAACACCCTCCCCGGCTCAGGCACCAGCATTCTGCCCCGGCCCTGCGACTGCCAGGGGATCTGGGTCGGGGCCAGGCTTGGACCCAGGATCATGCACATGTAGGGAACCAAGCTGCAGTTGGGGCCTCGCCTCCAAGGTCTCCCCTGGCCTGGAGCCAGCCTGAGCCAAGGAGAGCAGCAGAAACGCCTGGAAGCTCCCTGGCCTGTGGGTCAATATGAGTGGACGTATAATGCACAGTGCAGATGGATGTGGGGCAGCCTGCCACGCAGGCTCAGCCACCAGATTCAGGACATGGAAAGTGGCCAGGGAAACAGCTTAACCAGGAAACTCCAAGAGATTCAGAAATCATGAGCCAAACTCCGCACAGGCGGGCACCTGGGACTGGCACCCACCCCACACCTCTACATTTCTTTCTGGCCCCTGAAGTTCTCTCTCCTGTCCCTCTCAAAGATTGACAGCTTCAGGGCAGCTTCACCCGGACCACGGTGCTCAGAGTGGCAGGACCCTTTCACCACTGCCCATCAGGGCATGAGTTGGGATTTGAGCAAGTAGARAGCAACTGTCCCCATTCTCAAATGGGACCCACCTGGCGCAGAGGGAGGTTGAACGTGCATGAGGCACTTCCAGCCCGWGGTTCCCCGACACCCCAGTTGGTGTGGTGTGTCTACGCAATCTGACCGAAAGGCTGGACCCTGCTGCCACCCACAGTGACCCTGCACATCAGGGATTGAGGCTTCTTTGTGGTACCTAGCAGGTCTTTCAATGTCTCTGGAGAGGAGCAGGCAAGGGACCCCTCTCTCCACCAGCCCACGTGCAGGCAAAGCCCCTCCCAGCTCTGCCCGAGGCCCAGGCTGCCCGTCACCACCAGCCCCACTTYGCTTTAGCAGGTAACCAGGAAGCTTTTCGGCCTGGAGAAGAAAACCCTCAGCCGATGAAGAGTTCACAGCGTGGAGCGCACAGTTGGCAGTGCCCATAACTCACGCCTCGTTTATTCTCACCGATGTTCACTCTTACCTATCGCCTGTGTTTCAGCCACGCTGCAACTGTCATCTGTCTGGAAAGAGAAAGTAGTTGTTGGTTTCTTGGTGTGCAGAGAGATGGAGCTGCCTTACAGATATTTAACCTTATGTGGACAGGTAACCCAGAACCTGAGAGTGGAGTAGGTCCGTGGTGGACCTTGGAGTTCTCCTGTCTCTCAGGTGGGGTTGGGGACAGGAGAGGTGCAACACAGCACTGGTGGCATTGGGCAGAAGAGGAGGCTGAGCTTGTGTTGGTGCTCAGCAAGCTCACTGTTTTGGGAGGGGGATGATTAAAATCTAGATTGTGTTCATTTAGGGGCTTGGGAGGGACTGGTGGTGATTGATTGGAGGAGGAAGTGCTGCCGCTTGTCCACCTAAGTTTCCCATAGCGCTGGCACCAGTCCTCGGGGAGGCTTCAGAGCATCAGGGCACCAACCACCCTTCCCAGGCTTTCCACAGAGCTGTCCAGGGTTCTGAAATGCAGCAGAATAGGCACAGACCCCAGACTCAAGGCACCAGGGTCCCTGGGTTTGGCCTGCCCAGAACAGGAGGTGGGCATACAGCTTAGGGCACACTCACAGGCGCCACCTAAGATCGGCTCTGGCTTTGYGGGCTGATGTGGCCAACGGGTCAGGACACTCACCTAGCCCTGGGCTCTGTCTAGCAGGAACTTTCCCCCCAGCGCATGCCAAGGACCCTAGCCAGCCTCAGAGTGGGCCAACCTTAGAGTCCGGCAGTCCAGGAGACACCCTTCCGACCAGTCTACACAGACAGGACCCACAGCCATGGGGGCTGCGACCTTGATAAAGACATCCCCATCCGGCTTCACTGACTGGCAGGCTGTCTCAGGAAGTGGCTCCTCAGGCCCACTCTTGGCCAAATCTAGCGTGACTCATTTGCTCCAGAAAAGGAATATAAATAAGCGCCATCACACCTTGACAAGTTGACAGCGGTGACAAGCAGAGTAAATTCCCATATCTGAGACTCCGAGGAGGAGCGGTGATTTAACAGACCCAGCTGCCGTCACCAGAAGAAAATAATTAAGGAAACCTGGTGGTGTARAGGAAAACCGAGCGGCTGCGGCGGGTCCCTCCTGGTGAAGAGATCTGTCATCGTTGGCTGCAGGAGAGAACCCCCACACACTGGGGGAGAAACAAGCTGGGGACAGCTGCAGAGATGGATGAGGAAGAGGGGGGCGGCGGGTGGGGAGGGAAATAGGCTCTGCGGCTGGCAGAGGGACGTTAAATCTAAAAGGCTCTCCTCAGGCCAGGCACCACCACTCACACCAGTTCCACACTCACATGCACACACACACACACACACACACACACACACACACACAGGGAATGGCCAAGAAGATGGCAAACACTGACTGCCCTTTGCCCTGGGAAAGGCATTCCCCTGTTCTCCACCTAAAGGGGATCAATAGAAGACAGAGAAGATGCTCAAATTCTGCCTTTGTACCCACCTCTCTTGGGACTAGGTGAAGGTTCCAGAAAGCTCAGAGAATTTTAGGTTTTTCTACCCATGGTGGCTTTTGTGATCCCCCCCCTCTCATATAGACACTTGCTTGCTAATACGTGAAGGTGTGTGGGCACAGCCTCAAACTGATGAGGTCAAGGTTATAATACTGGACCCTGTGGGGAAATCTCCTGGTCAGGGAAGACCTAAATGCCCCCCTTGCCAGCTGGGCTCCCGCCATTGGACTTCTGCCCGGGATACAGAGACAGTTGGGGAAGTGCTGGGCCATCAGAACTACCTTCTCCTTGCCTAGGCAGCAGCCAGGACTTGGTCAGGTGTGGCCAGGCACAGAGCTTTCCAGACGTTCCACCTCTCTGCTTGCTTAAGGGATGGCAACTTCTGATTGTGACTGTGCCTTCTGGCAAAGCCTCAGGGCACAAATGTCCACCCACATGGCACAGGAGCAGGACAGAACCCCTGACACCCCAGTAGCTAGGCAGGCATTAGAAAGGTGACCCAGAGTGCCGCATGGGATCCCCCAAAGGGAATTCTATGCTTCCAATATCTTCACCCCAAACAGACCAAACATGGCATCAAGCAGAATCCCCTCTCTGGCCAGAGGTTCCCCACACTAGAGTTTGTCAACCTGGACTGTTCTGGCTCAGCCCGGGTGAGGGCTCTCTCTGGTGAGCACAGGGGACATTCTCGTGCTTGGTCAGTGATGAGCAAACCTCTCTCCATCTTCCCCAAGTCATCAGTTAGTGCTTGCTAGGCAGTTACTCTACCTCTGGGCTCCAGGCAGGYCTTTGGAGATGAGCCGGATACGGTGTCTTCCCATCGTAGACACAGCTGAGAAGATCAAAATCACAAAGTGAATGCCAAGGTCAGAGAACTTCTTGGAGCAGGAGGAGAAAGAGTGTGCTMCATCCCAAAGCCCGGTATGGGCCAGATGTGAGTGCAAATATGTCATATTCCAATTACAGAGAATCCACACCAACGAGGACCAGGACATGGCTGACAGGTGTGCAGAGAGATGGACAGAACTTTAGGAACAGTCCTTTTCCTGTGACTAAATAACAGGGTGGGGTGGGGTGAAAGRTGGTCTGTGAGAGCCCTGAATTCCACTGGGCAGGTTTGTGGGCACATCTGGGGATCTCCCTATTCACTCCTTCTAGGTCCTATCAGGAGGTGAGATGAGATAAGTTAGCATCAGCTGGGAGCCAATGGGACCATGTCTTTGCTGCACCCCTATTTTCTGTATGGGTAAAGGGTGGAGGGAGTCTAGCACTGAACCAAGCCCTTGCCCTCTGCCCCCAGAACTGCCTTTCCCCAGAGCCCACTCCCAGCTCCCTCCAGCCTGGGCATCCACGGGCAACAGACTGTAAGCCGGTCCCGGGAACCATGAGGTACTTCTGCTACTAATACTGCCCTCTCCTCTGCTTGCTTTTTAGGAATTAAGTTCAACGTCAGACCACAGCAGCCCCACAACGTAAGTTCTGAGAGTCAGATCAATCTCAGCATACACACCCTGGAGAAAGTTGGGGAGAGCAGGGAAACAATTTTTAGGAGCCAATATAAAATCCATTCTTGGAAAGAAAAATGTGTCTAGTTCTTTCCAGGAGCCTTGGGAACAAAGCCCTGGGCCCTGGGTTCATGAATTTCCCTGTCCTGTTAGATGGCTCCTTTGGAGGATGCTAATAGACCCGGTAAATCTGAGCCACCTCCTTCAGGCCATCAACTTCCACGGCCCGCTGTGGTCAGGTGGAGGTTTATGGGAGGACTGCGCCATCTAGTGGTGGATATGACACTTGCACCTCACGTACTACCCTACTATGGGCAGCTGGGTGTGGGATCAGGACTCAAGACTGGAGGGTCACACCTGCAGTATCAGCCTGTCTCCCTGTTCCTCACCTGAGAAGACCTCTAACCACAAAGAGGCAGAAAGCGCTGCTGCGAGGAAGGCATGGTATGCATGACCTTTGCGCTTAACTTTCCTGTCCACCTGGTAACTATTTCTCTTTTTGTCTCAGGCACACCCACCGGGCAGTTCCCAGGATGGTGACTTGAAGATATCCACAGAGAAGGTCATCCGGGACTTGTCCAGCCGGACCCCAAGGGACCTCAACGTGAGGGTGCCTGACCAGCCTCAACCGCACCCCAAGATGGGAGCCCGACTGCGACTCCCGCAGCGCCGCCGCCGTCTGCTTATCAAAAAAATGCCAGCCGCGGTGGCCATCCCAGCCAACAGCTCATCAGAGACCTTTATTCGATTGGGGACCCAGGCCCTGGACAGCCATTGGGTCGGCCTGCACCGGAGCCAGCAGGAGCGCAAGCGGGTGATGCAGGAGGCGTGTGCCAAGTACCGGGCGAGCAGCAGCCGCAGAGCCRTCACACCTCGCCACGTGTCCCGCATCTTCGTGGAGGACCGCCACCGTGTGCTCTACTGCGAGGTGCCCAAGGCGGGTTGCTCCAACTGGAAGCGGGTGCTCATGGTGCTGGCCGGGTTGGCCTCATCCACCGCGGACATTCAGCACAACACGGTCCACTACGGCAGCGCCCTCAAGCGGCTGGACACCTTCGACCGCCAGGGCATCCTGCACCGCCTCAGCACCTACACCAAGATGCTCTTTGTCCGTGAGCCCTTTGAGAGGCTGGTCTCAGCTTTCCGAGACAAGTTTGAGCACCCCAACAGCTACTATCACCCTGTCTTTGGCAAGGCCATCCTGGCCCGGTACCGGGCCAACGCCTCGCGGGAGGCCCTGCGGACTGGCTCTGGTGTGCGGTTCCCCGAGTTCGTCCAGTACCTGCTAGACGTGCACCGACCCGTGGGCATGGACATCCACTGGGACCACGTCAGCCGGCTGTGCAGCCCCTGCCTCATCGACTATGACTTTGTGGGCAAGTTCGAGAGCATGGAGGACGATGCCAACTTCTTCCTGAGCCTCATCCACGCTCCACGCAACCTGACTTTTCCGCGGTTCAAAGACCGGCACTCCCAGGAGGCGCGGACGACAGCCAGGATCACGCACCAGTACTTCGCCCAGCTGTCGGCCCTGCAGCGGCAGCGCACCTACGACTTCTACTACATGGACTACCTGATGTTCAACTACTCCAAGCCCTTTGCAGACCTGTACTGAGGGGCGGGGCCGGCTGGCCAGGGGCGGGGCCTGTCCCACCCACTCGCAGGAGCTGGGACATCCCACTGGGCTCCAAGAATGGGAGAGGCTGAGTCTCTCGAGGCAGCAGGCCCGTGGAGAAGAGAGGCTTGAGGCCTTGGATGGGGACCCTGGCCCTTGTCCCATACCCACTTCCTAACTTCTTGCCTGAGGGAGAGGCCCCATGGACTCAAGTCAAGAGTCCCGATGACCAGGGAAGTCTGAGGCCCAGAGGATGAGGGCCCCAGCGGTAAGGGACTTCCTGCAGTCCCTTAGCCATTGCCTTGTACAAACCACACGGTTTGCAGCTTTTCTATGACGGGGGTGGGGGTGGGGGAATAAAGCACATGGTTTTCAGAGCAGCGGTGTCTCCTGTGCGTGGTGGTGTGGGAACACGTGGACCTTGCCCCTTGCCTTCTGGAGTTTTCTCTGCCTCCCTAGGACGGCCTGAGCCAAGATGCTGCAGCCCTGGTACAGGGGAGCCTGAGGCAGGAGTATCCCAGATGGGAGGAGATAGGCCTGTCACCACAGAGGCCCTTGTCACTGCGTCTTGCAATGGGCCCTCTGAGGTCTGCCAGAGCAGTGGCAGGCCTCTGTCAGCTGCCGATTAGGGCTACCTACCCCTGGGGCCCATGGGGCACTGGGTGTGTTTCTGCAGGTGGGGAGGGATGCTACCCCAGCCTTCTGAACCTCGGGGCTAGGCGGGGGTTTGGCCTAGGGTTTTCACCTGCAGACCCCCAACTCTGACCATGTCACTTGGTCACCTGACAAGACCACCTTAGGGCTGCAGGGATTGCTGGTGCCTGGTTGAAGCAGTTCTAGGGGGAAAGCGGGAGGAAGCTATAAAAGAAACTACTTCCGACGCACACATTTCACACCAGAAATGGTTCTGAGATTACCAGAAGCCAGGGTGATGCTGGAAAGGTCTCTGAGGGAGTGTTTGTTGGGGCTTAGAGTGTGGGTGTGACTGTGCTGTGTTTGGATTTTGTCACCCGAGGGAAGTGCTGCCTGCCTATGGAGGTCTCACTCTGTCAGCCTGCGTCTGCCGGGAGCCCCTGCCTGCCCTTCTGAATCGCTCTGTGGGCGTCTTTGCTGTCTCTTCCAGGAGATGGCTTTCAGTCTGTTCCCACTGGCCAGTGGAGCTGCAGCCAGACCCTGGGAGGAGACAGGGATGGATGCCTGCCGTGGGTGGGGCTGGATTCCAGCCAGGCAGAGCCAGGAGCTGAGGCTACCTCCTGCCTCCCTCCTCAGGTCCATGTTCACCCAGGAGCCCAAGCAGGGGTGCGCCTCCTCTCTGGCTCCAGCTGCAATTGGAACAGGGGGGCAGGGAGGAGACTGTGGTTCAGGCTTGAGGGGCTCAGGACTCAGGGAAGGCAGGAAGGCAGATGCCAAGGGGCTCAGAAAGACAGAGGCTGGCCCACACCTGGTCAGGGCCATATGAGAGGAGGCAGGGAGGGCCCCGGCTGACCATGACCCAGAGACAGCTGCCCCTGGGCTGTGGGGCTCGGAGTGGGACTGAATTCATGATGCAGGAAGAGGGTCCCTGGTCATGGATGCATTTGGTGAAGCCTGAGGCAGAGTGTCACATGTCATCTGCTCAGCAAGGGGACACCTGGAGGCCCAGCTGGGATAGCCTGCAGGCAGCTTTACCCCATGCTGCTGCTTAGAGACAATCAGGATTGCCCTGGGCCACCCTCACCCCACTGTGTGTGTGTGTGTGTGTGTGTGTGTGTGTGTGTGTGTGTGTTGGGGGCAGGATAAGACATCCTCATTGGGTCACCTCTCAGAGACACCCAAGCCTGGATGGATGGACACACAACACATTTATCAAGGGGGCTTTCTTTCCCGGTGGTAATGACAGCAGGCACAGGATCCAGACAATGACCATAATTACCACTTATTGGCCTCTAGCATGACCTCTTACTGGAGGCCAGAGGCCCAGCCCTGAGGCTCCACCTGGAATTCACTGAAGTGGTGCTGGATCCAGTTCCAGAGCCAACCCACCCCAAGCTTCATAGGGATTAGGGAAGGTGGACTCAACCCCAACACAGGGACGTGTGTGTGTGTGTGTGTGTGTGTGTGTGTGTGTGTGTGTGTGTCTTACATGGTGCCTGGTCCTGTGCTGTGGGAGTAGGTGGGTGTGAGCACAGGAGTCAGTGGGGGGGGCAGTATTTGTGTCTGGAGGAAGGTGTGCATGCACATGTACAAGCCTGTATGTGACTGGGGATGGACTGTGGACAGTCTGTGTCCCTCTCTGAGACCGTCTCCTTCACCCTTCCTGACCCTGACCCGTTTGCTCACCACTTCTTGGGTATAGTCTGGAGGGCACCATTTGACCATGTCCCCAAGAAGGGGCCACAGGCAGCTCCCAGAGGTCAAGTAGGCCCATTGATTTGGGAGAATAACTGTCAACTCCCAGTTGGGGCTTCTCTGGAACAGCCCCCAGTGAAATTCCCACTGGGCCTTTGGCCTTGGCTGGCTGAAACCTCCCGGATGTGAGCCTTGCTCTTTGAGAGGTGAAGAAAACAGACATCCCCAGCCGAGGGTCCTTCCTGGGGCCAGAGAGCCCCGGGGCCTTGAGTCTCCTGGGGAGATAAGACTCAAGGCCCAGACTGTGGACAGGTATGAGTCAGGCAGCTCTGGCCTCTGAGACAGGCCTCCCTGCCCTCTCCATGTGGCTTGGTGGTCCCTACAGTCCCGTCCAAGGGGCCCAGGCAGTGGACAGAGGAACAGTCCTCCAGCAGTGTCCCCCACTCCAGGCAGGGCTGTTTGCCAGTTTGATCCTCAGGGGTGAGCTGCCTCACTGGGGGATGGGAACCCGGCCCTGAGGACTGAAGGCCATCTCCGGTCCCTGCCCTCATCTCCACCCTTTCCTCTCCAGGGAGCTGGGCTCAGATACTGCCCTCATCCCTGGGGACCCCATGCATCCTGGGTGGGGATTAAGCAGTGCTCTGGATGATCCCCTGGGGAGCCCCACCCCCCAGGTGTGGGGTGAGGACATTGTGAGTCCTGGCTGCGGTACTGGAAGGGGCCAGCTCCTGCTCCTGGCCCTGGTTTGCCGAGAGRCCAGTGCTGCTCCCGGCTCCTCCCACTGCCCAGAGGGACCCTTTGCACAAGGGGCTCCGCTGTGAGGTGGAAGCAGAGGGAAGCCAGGGGGCTGGGCTGAGGTCACTTGGGAACAGATGGACCTGTCCCCCCCTGGCTCTTGGGCTGGCTTGAGGAAGTGAGGAATAGAGCAGGCGAAAAGTCTTAAAGATAGGTCAAGGGACAGAGGTCAGCAGTGAGTCATTCCCAATCTTGGGCTTAGGTGGCCCTGCCACATTGTCTGGTGTACTGGCCTGAACCAGGAGCTCACGACTGTGCCAAGTGGGTATTATGCTGTGCCCTCACATGCATTGCCTAATTCACCTATCCAGCGGCCCTGTCCAACCACGTGACACCGTCCTTTACAGATGTGAAGCTAAGGCACCAGAGGCTTGGCCAGAGCTGCACTGCAGCCTCAGGAATTGGAGCTGGGACTTCCCCAGCAGTCTGGCTGAGCCCCCCACCCCCACCCCCACCCCTGTAACATCTGCGTGGTCCCCACAGGCACAGTGACCATCCTTGACCACCAGGTGGGGCTAAGACTGTGCGGCTGAGCAGCTACCTTGCTATCCCTGGCTTGGCCACGAGGTGGCAGCAGTATTCCAATTGTGCACAGCTCCTGAGGATGCAGCATCCCCCAGGCCTGAAGGACCTAGCACTTCCAGCCTCCCTACCATGGGGTCGCTGTGCTCTGCCTCTCATTTTCTCTGGACTGACCCCAGAGGTTACTCTCCAATATGCCAGCTCCAGGGTCCCACCTGCCCTAATACCAAACTCCCCAACACCCCCAATGCCTCTCACCCATCACCTGGGCCTAGGGTAGGGGCATCAATCACTTGCAAGGGCATGGGCTCCACTCTAAGGACAGGGATGTCAGGCTCTCTTGGACCTCATGAGGAGACACACACACACAAGCACACCCACATGCAGACACACACAGGCACAGACACACACCAGCACATACACAGCAATTGCACACCAACACACACATTCACATCCTCACACGCATGCAGACACAGGTGCACATAGACACACAGACAGACACACATGGACACAGAGGCACACGCCACCTCTTATGGGATTGAAATAAACAGGAAGGACCAGAAAGTTCCCTGTCTTGTCAAGTGTACACTCTGCACTGAGTTCTGTTCTCTCTCTGTCTCCTGGCCCCTATCAGAGCTTTCTCTTCTCCTCAACCCCCCCCCACAGGACCCCAATCCCTTTGCCTCTACTTCAAAGATATCACCCAGGTTGCGCCTCCCCTCTCTGCATGCCTCAGGCTTTCCCTGCAATCGCCCCATCTTACAAAACAAAAAGACCTCAGCCCCAAGTCCCCTTCCAGCACTCGCCCATTTCCGTCCTCTCCTTCCCAGCAAAACACTCCCTTCTCTGTCTCTCAGGTGTCCCACGGGGCCACACACCTTTCCCTCCTCCAGCCTCGCCTCTCCCACCTCCCCATCTCAGCCCTTCACACCTGTATCAACCTTCCCTTCCTCCCTCTCACCCTGCCCAAGGGTGCCCTGAATCTGTGCTCCTTCTCCCTCTCCAGTGCTGTTGTTTTAACCTGAGCCACCGTCCTCTCCAGCCTCAGCTCCTGAAGCCATAAGAAATAGCTACGGTGTTGACCGGTGTACCGGCTACTATTGCTCTAAGTGTTTCATATATGCGTTATCTTTTTGAATCCTGACGACACCTCTGTAGGATGGGTAGAGTACAATGACATTCTCCCCATTTTTGACAGATAAGGAAATTGAGACACAGAGAGGTTAAACAATTTGCTCTAGGGCGCACCGCTGTTAAGATAAAGTTCCAGGATTCAAAGCCCAGATGTCTGCTGGGGTGCTCACATTCTTACTCATTAGCATGCTTTCTCTTTGGTGCTCCCATAGGGTAGAAGTTTGGGGGACAGTGGCTTATAAATTGGATGATCACTGGAGCAAGGAGAAGACAAGCTCTGCAGGAAAATAGGGTGATCTCCAGGCGCCATGGAGGGCCCACTCAAGGCTGTGCCCACTCACATGCAGCATGACCAGCATGGCCAGAGCTGGCCCTTCCAGGCATGTCTAAGAGAGGACAG